TTTGCCTGGAAAGACTTGGGAAAATCACGAATATCCTCAATCTTGATTACTGCAGTTTCGGTCGAGATTCTAACCACCATCCCCATAATACAACTCTGTAGCGTTAGCGTTACGGCAACCCTACGGGAACAACGTTTTATCAACTGCATAGCCTCTCTGGCGTCATATCATTAAGCAATTTTGAATGACCCTTTCTGGAAATTACGTCTTTTAACCCACCATTGCAATATTCACCTTGACGGACATAGGAAGACTACGCTTTACGAGACAAAAACTTCTCACCGTAAACAGAAAACATTTCTTTATGAATATCGCTTGCATGACACCCTTTTGCCTACAAAAAACACACAACAGTACGCTGTTCTTCAGTAGTATATATCTCAGGCACGGTCGCCATTTTGAGTACTGAAACTAGCCTCTGAATATGCGTATGCGCATCTGCTACCTAAACTGTCATGAAGCTGGTCAGTGCTGCTACCTAGTGATACACATAGAAAACCTATTACGCCAATTACAGCTGTTTCACTTCCATGTTTGTGACTTTCCCTCATACGTAACATGTCAATCATGATAACCAATTCCGGAACTGAGAATAGAGCTCTGGACGTCAAAAATATGAAGGAAGTTTGCTGACCACTCAACGACGAATCTCGGTGATAAGTTATTGACACAGGTTGGAAAGATGATAAGTCGTCATACAACGTTGTATTATGGTATGACATGTCAGCTTAACCAATGATAAGTACAGTTGTCTTCCTTGGTTGTATTTATTGAAAATTTTTAAAATAAAAGTGTGAGCCGGGATAGCGAAGTCGGTATATGGACTGGCTACGGTCTGGACGACCGAGGGGTCGGTGTTCTAGTCCCGGTAGCGTCAAAAAATTTATCTTCTCTACGTCGTCCAGACCGTCTCTGGAGTCCGTCGAACTTCCTAACCAATGGGTACCGGGGGCCCTTTCCCGGGGGTAAAGCGGCCGGGGCGTGAAGCTGACCACTCACCTGCAACTAGTGCCGAGGTCAAGAAAATGTGAATCTATGCATCCACTCCCACATACGTCTTCATGGCGTAGTGCTTAATTCGTTGAGCACAGGGACAGATTCACTTTTTTACGTGCAAGTATCGTTTATTAGAATTGTTTTCCACTTCCACTTCTCGGGACTTCTGATATTTAATTAAAAGCATTATGTTCAAAGCTACATGAGACGAGTCAAATTATCCATGAGATATGTTTTCCTAATGTGTTGTTGGCCTGAAAACTGTGCAACATTGGGAGACACCCGTGCATCTGCGCCGTTAAGAGCTGTACTGCATCTGTAAACGTACAATCCATTTCATCTTGTTAGGAGAAGAGACGAACAAGGGTTTCAGCCCATATGTATTAATGAGGAAGGATCATTCCCAGGGGTTAAAGTGGCCTGGTCATCAAACTGAACTCTTACCTCCGTCTAGTGCCGAAGTCAAACATGGAGTTATAGTTTCACTCTCCTATAGGCCTTCATGGCATAGAACTTAATTAATTAAGCACACGCACAAATTTACAGTTTTATAGAAACTTCATATTTCCCAACAATGCCTTAAAATGAAACGATTAGGGCAGTGCACCTGAACTCAGAAGAGCATGACAGGTCCCTGAGTGGTGCTGGCTTGCCTCTGCCCTATAGATAACACGCCGCATTTGGCGAACGTAACGTGAGCAATTTTACAACTTTTTGCGGCGTATGTGTTAGGAATAGACGAATGGCCGCTCCGTCTGCAGTTTTATCACATATTTTTGATATACCATAATATTTCAAAATATAAACCCTGTTAATATCGTAGGTTGGCACATAAAACAACCAGACAGAAATAGCGTGTCGTCAGTTACCTTTGTTATTGTCTGGGTTGGCTGTATATAACCAGCAAGGAGCCATGTTTAAAGTTAATAACTCACAAAATGCGACGGTGGTTTTACCACGCTTCAGCACCTATCTTTCCAGATGACATTTCAGGTGAGATGTGAAGGCTGCACGATTTGATGTAACGTCACTATATAAAAGAAAACTCCCTTGTTCACCCCCCTATACGTGTGAGTTACAGGAAAGTAGGGTGTCTTATTGCACGCAGCCTAGTAACACGCGGTCGTTTCTGACAAATGAAGGTGTGTTTACTTCCAGCTAAGCACGTTATTGACCGCTGTTGTCTTTCTGTCTCTGTCGTCTATTTTATGGGGCTATTGGTAGCTAATTGTAGAGCGTTGAATCGTAGAACGACAGATGAAAATGAACTGGAAAGGATTAGGAAGAAAGCGGTCATTACCTAATCTAGAAAAGCAAAAAACTCCGTTGTTTTAGTCCGCAAGCGAACTATACCGACCGAGAGACCGCCACTTGTCTGTGAAGTTAGTGCCAACTTTAGCGGATAGAGAGTGTAGGGTGGTCATCGCAACGAATCGTTACAGCCGTTAATTTCGGTTTTTTAGACCGGAGCCGCTATTTCCTTCAAGTAGCTCCTCAATTATACTCAAAAGGCTGAGTGAACCCAGTTCCAGACCCGTTACTTCTCAGAAAATCTGGTAGCGCCGGAGAATTGAACCCGGACCTCTGGATGTGTAGCCAGGAACTCTGACCACTAGCCCACAGAGGCGGTCTCTAGATAATAACCTTATTTTGTGAGTACTGAGTGAAGAACTTCAATTGAGATAAGTAAAATATCCCGCCGGTCACGGTAGCCGAGCGGTCTAAGGCATGCACTGTCTTCGCTCACTCGGAAGCCGGGATCGTGGGTTCGAATCCCACTCAGGGCATGGAAGTTTGTGTGCGTTTTTCTGTGTTTGTCTACAGGTAGAGGCCTTGCGACGAGCTGATCACTCGCCCAAGGAGTCCTACCGTATGTGTTCATGGAGTGTACGGAGTTCATGGAGGTAGGCCTAGGCCCACTGGGGCTGTAGTGCCAAGGGGGGGGGGAAATATCCCACGTCTTTCATGAAACCCGAAGCTTCAGTACGTGTTCACAAGAGTCTGCCACTTGTTCCTATCCTGTGACTGATGAATCCAGTCCAGATTCTCACATTATATTTGTGGAATATCCTCTTTAATATTATCCTTTCTTATACTCCAGGTTCTGCAAACGCGACCTCATCCACTCAGATTTTCCGACATACGTATAATAGGTTATGTATTTGATAATGCGGAACAAAATTGAATTTAGAGGACAATTTTCAGTATAGACGTCCTGTTACCAAATTACGTCGAAAAGTTTTGAATACTTTGAGGTACGAGTTCTACGATTAGGCAGTAGACATTATCTCTCCATTAAGCGTTTATTTGGGGCCACGTCATAACTCAAGCGGTTAGTCGCTGGCTTCCCAACGCGACGGCCCGGGTTCGATCTCGGGTCTGGTCAAGTGGGATTTGTGGTCGACAAAGTGGCGCTGCGGCGGTTTTTCTCCTAGTACTTCGGTTTCCCTTGCCAATCATCATTCCACCAAATTCTCCATCATCATAAGCACCCAGGGCAGGCTACAATAGGCCAATCAGTGGCCGCCGTGCCGAGTGGATCCAGTTGGACTCCACCCACACTAAGCGAATTTAATTTCTTTAATCGTTCATTTGGATATTGCAAAGAACCTGTATAAACTAAACTTTCTTGTCTTCCTTTTCTTCTTCGTCTTCTAAACCTCTGGTCCAATTTGGAACACAGGACATCCGTGGAACGATTCGTTTCGCATCAATTTCTTAATCTAATATAGTCGATAACACTCCTTGGACGGGGGATGAGCCCGTCGCAAGGCTGCTGCCTAGAAACACAGAATAACCATAGACATCATGCCTTGAGTGAGATTTGAACCCATGATCAGAGTGTTCGGGCTAGCTAAGGCATTCAGATTTCTTGTACAAGCAGATAAGGATATGGAACCGTTACAGAATATAAGAATGATCGTCACAAAGCACAAACTGTCTTTGTTCTTGCTTGTGAGAAAATTCTAGAATGTAACAATTTTTCTTGCTCCTTGTTCTCGGAAAATAAATCATTATCCCCGAGAAATATCTAAGTAGAACTCGCAGATAATCAAAGCAAAAACCTCAAAGCAGTACCGCACATATACTGTATTCCTTTTTGTTTACAGATTGTACACTGAATTACAGGCTAGTAGTCTATAACGTTTTGTTTTTATTAATGTTTAGACAGCCGCGGTAATATATAAGGAGCATTGCCTAGTCACGTGGTTGGACAGGTAGGCAGGTATAAGACGTTCTGCTCTCACCTCCCCATTCCCCTCTTATTCCCGAGACTTGAGTCTGACCACCTACCAACCAAGCAATGTTTTTTTTTCTCTCTCCCTCCTTCCAACAGCCACTTCGTATGCAGGTGTATACGTATTTGAATGCGTCCAGCTTTGCTAGTTAGTGACGTTCGAGTGGAGAGACAGGTCTCGTTTGTTGCGTGGTTCCATAATCCTCGTGTTACGGCGAAGAAATGAAACTGAAGTCTACCTTTATGCCTCGCAATGGATTTATTACAATTTCCTTCAGTTTCTCGGTTTAACATGGACGCTTATGTTTGTGTGCAGGATGTTACAGTTTGCCGAGTAGTGTCGCTGTATGACTGTTCTGTAATGTCTGACCTGTAAATGGCGCCACAAAGTATGTGATAATTTCAAGCTGAAATATATTTAAAAACCGAGTATTTTGTTATATAAAATAACGCGTATTTTGAAGAATCTGCGCAGTATGACTCTTGTGTGTATAAAGCTGTTCCAAATCCGGTAAACATCGAGTGTAAAGTTGTGTCATTTTATCAACAGAAGTACACAAAGACTAAACAAACTGCATTCGACCGCAAAGTGTTTTTGTTCCATTACGGTGGAACCCTTTCCATTGTGCTTTGAAATAATATGTATTTGAGTGGCTACAACTGCGGTTGCATGCATGAGTATCGTAATGTGATAATATTTTGCTGCTGTTAGGTTGTATTCTGAATGAGGCTGTAGTTACATATAAATTACATGTGTTTAATGAAGCATTTATTTCGATCGATTTAGTATGGTTATGTTACATACGAAAATGGCGTGGCCCTTTCTTATTTTCATATAACAATTGCCAAGATATAGTGAATTGCTTTGTGTTTGTAAAGGAAACGCGCCCAACTATATAAGTGATATATTTATATCAAAGTAAACAGCAGCCCAGAAAGTGCTTGTATTGGCGGTTCTTAATTCTTCTGGGTCCAAGTTGACCAGGGATTGTTCATGTTAGTGAAGTGCATAACAGAGTCACTTGTTCGGCAGGTTTATCACCGTATTGTCTCCGTTATTGAAGTGATTTTAGAAGTTGCATAAGAAAAATAAAATAGTGTATACTTCAATGAAAAATATTGAATGCGTAGTGATATTTTGTGTTCCAAAAGGTGTACGTTGAGGTGTGCGACAAGTTCTGTTTGTGCGATCGGTTTCTGGATGTGTATCTGTGTTGTCTCAGTAAATAATGAGTTACTACTACTACCAACTTCCACCGCCCGAAGAAGTGGAGGATTCAGCCTGCCTGACAGGATCGCTCCGTCATCCAAATAGTCGCAATCGCCAACCTCAATCATCACAGCAGTGCCAACATTACCATCATAACCGCCCTTACAGACCGCAATCATCAACAGACAGTATTCCCTTCGTCGATGCTGACACTTCCAGTGGCCAACCCCGTGTCAGTAATCTGTCACTTGAACTAGGCACATCGAGCAGCGAAGAAACAGTGAGTCGACATTCAACTTGTCCCCATAACAGCAAACCCCGTACTACGTCATCAACTGGAGCTACGTCACTACGACGTCGGCGTCGTTACCCTCCACCTCCGCCCTCTCCCCCAGCAACTTTTCTGGATTCAGAAGACGCTGCGAGTCTCAATAACTTATTGGATGCTCTAGATGACCTTGACGTTGTGGAAGAAGACAGACGCAGCTCGTTGACAACAACGGGAAGCAGCCATGATGATGGGACGGCAGCAGATGAGGAACTCGTGGTACCTCGTAATGGACCACCACGGCCCACACTGGCGTCGATTTTAGTGTCAATACCACCCCCACCCACCCCACCCCCACCCGAGAATGAGGACAGGGATGACTGTCAAGAATTAAAAGCGCACCAGCGATATCAACAGCAGCTGAGACAACCCGTGAAGAGAAGCGGCCCCTACAGCAACCACAACGCCAGATTCGTTCCTCCATGTCCACCTACGTCGCCTCCTAAAGACAACCAACAAAAGGTGAGTATTACACGTGACAGTACTTAGTTTACAATGCAATATATGCGATGGTTTCATTGAGAAGGGACCACCTCTGTGGTCTAGTGGTCACAGTTCCTGGCTTAAAAATCCAGAGGTCCCGTGTTTGATTCCCGACGCTACCAGATTTTCTCTGAAATAGTGGGTCTGGAACTAGGTCCACTCAGCCTCGTGAGGATAACTGAGGATCTATTTCAAGGATAACCGAAGTTAACATCCGTGGGTGTTCGTTGCTCTGACCACGCGACACCCTCTGTCCGCTAAAGTTGGCACTAACTTCACCGAAAAGCGGCGGTCGCTCTGTCGGTATACTTCTCTTGCGGACTAAAATCCACGGAGTTTTGCGTGTGTTTTTTTATTGATAACGGTGGTTTATGTTGTTGCAGCTTTCACTCTTTAGTGTTGTTTATTTAACGACGCTTCCAAGTGACTCAGACTGTGTGGCGTCGAATGACTGGATGACAGAAAATAATGTATTAGGGATGTCGTGAAAAGGAAGTGGTCGTGGCCTAATTTAAGTAACTAGCCAGACGCAACGAAAATCTCGAAGATCTCAGGTCAGACGTGCCCCCAGTCGAGTTTCGAATAGGAAACCTTCAGGAAACGAATAGAAATCTTTACTTCTTGGGCCAACTAAATCGATATTTATTTTGTATTGGATTTTTAGCCGACTTTATTTCGATAAAACAGAAATAGTCTCATGAAATCATCTTGCTGTCTGTATATCAGTGTGCCCCCCCCCCTTTAAGTTTTTTTTTTCTATGCTGCCCATGTTGTTTGCCCAAACAATTCTTTCAAGTCAGAGAATCTTTGTGACACTAGGTAACAATATCTTTTAGTGTGAGGATTTCTTAGCCCCGCGCACCCAAATCCCATGCTGGAGGACCATCAGTTATCAGTTGTCCAAGACTGCTTATTCAGTAAATTCGCAGCCATCCTCCATGTAATTAGAAGTATAATTACAGTGATCATATCAAGTAGGACGAGATGGACAGGACATGTAGAAAGCATGTGGAGAAGAGGAATTTCTATAGGATTTTAGTTGGAAAGCCAGAAGATATAGAGACCATTAGGAAGACAAGACGTAGGTGATATGATAACATTATAATGGATTTTAGGGAGATAGGGTGAGGTGGTATGGGTTGGATTGATCTGGCTTAGGATTGGGATCAGTGGAGGCCGCTTGTGAAAACGGTAATAAACATTCGGGTTTCATAAAATTTTGAGAACTTCTTGAGCAGCTGCGCAACTGGCGGCATCTGACGGACTCAGCTCCAGTCACTTAGACGGCCCTTGTCTATCAACGGAAAGTAGGCAGTTAGTTCTTCTCAGAACTTCTTGTGCTACAAGTATCTTCATCAGTATTTTCTCAATAAGTATTAAATTTTCTCTTTTACGTGTAGGTCCTCGCAATATTCATTCAATGAGCTTGGTCCCAAGTTTACGATTCTGGTCTTTTTTCTTTCACTGGCTCTACAGTCCCCTTGGGCCCTGGCCTCCGATTTTCAGTTTCATGATCATTTTAAAGACTGTAGGAGTCCTTGGTTGAATGATCAGCTCATCGCAAGGCCTCTTCCTAAACAAAGGAAAACACATAGAATGAACACATACACATACCAAACGTCCATGCCTTGTGTGGGATTCGAACCCACGATCCCAACTTCCGAGTGAGCGAAGACAGTACATACCTTAGACCGCTCAACTATCGTGACCGGCCTCAGGTCTATTTGGCGTAGCTAAATTTCTTCAGAAATTCATTACCTGTGTATACCCGTCTTTCTGTTCAAGTGTCGATGAAACCACGTGTGGAGCTATCAATTACCAATAGTGAGGCCCCAAGGTCCACAACTTACACTTGATCTTTGTAATGATAAAAAGAAATTGAACTTCTCATGAGTCGTTAAGCACAATCGTATATTGTGTTAACGGGCACTGAACGGAGATTTAAACCTGTAGGACTGATTCACTGTAGTAGATGCACACCGAAAAACCTGTTTCTTTACCACCATGTAATTTCACTAATACCACGAACTCAATTTCCCACGCAGTATTAACGACTGGACCATGAACTTGTTCTGCTAAAGCCTTTTCTTCTCTTTACTTCTGCCGTGCACAGACATTGTAAGTACATCATCAGTCATTGTCGTACGCGTCTTCTTATTTCGGTGCTACGCCTCCCTGCAGAGCGCCTATTGAAGTAGCTCCGTCCGTCCTTCCATCTGTCTGACACTCGAAGCGACTAGAGGCCCAGTAAAGGTATTTTTTGATACATTTTACTGCTGAGATCAACTACAATTCTTTGATCACTTTTAGCGAAATTGAATGGTAATAATATACTTTACACGCATACTTACTCTCTGCGCACATACATGGGCGCCTGCATGCTACCTTGCCTGCGTTTTTGTACAAAAATTACACCGAAACATAGAATATATATATTATATATATATATATAATACAGTGCTATCGCTTATCTACACACTTTACAATTCACCGTTACACACTCATTAGTGTTAACAGACTTCACTCGTCGTATCCTGGCAACGGCTGTATAACAGTCTCGCTGTCACTGCAGAACATATGACATTTTCTTTGCGCAGCCTTATTCCTTCCTTGCCACTTCTTCTCAATCACCTTCGACTGCCAACTCTCTCAGTTCTCTGGTACAAGTTCCAAATCCTGTTCTCGACTTGGTTTTAATTCTAGCCAAAGTCAAAGTTATTTCACGACTGGCGGTTTACCGTCAATCAGTTCGTATTAGCGTCAGGCTTCTTGAGGCACACGACCAGAGATTTTTACCACCTGAACTCTTGCAGTAATAATCCTTATGTATCATCCTCTCTGACGAGAGGCTATGTAACGAGGATCTCACGCAGCTAGAATTAGAACCCTAGAACTTAGAACTTTACTCTGGTTTACCTTCAATACCTATAAATATTTCCTTTAACTGAAGTTCTAATTCTAGCTGCTTGAGTTCTTCGTTATATACTCTCGGGGTGGACCCAACGGAAAATACCGTTTCCCAACAATTCTTCTATTGTTATAGATGTGTGTTTACTCCGCCGTTACATAGAAACGGAAGTTATTCGAGTGTTGCTTCCGTATTCATTGCCGCGGGAATGTGTTTACAGAACCGATGCCTAGCAGTGGACGTCTTCTCTGATTTCACTATTCCTTTTAAAAGTTTTAAACGTTAAAATCTCATCCACATCACATCTGTATGCCCATTACATGTTTCGACCAACATTGGTCATCTTCAGGTGACTAAATTCTTGATGATACTGCCGTGTTTCCGTCCGTAAGTTCAATTTTTAGGATAAGCCTTCATCTATGCGCCCATGTGTATAAGCTGATGGTTAGTTACCCTTATTGTGTCATGTCCAGCTGTTATGAATGTTTTCAAGTGTTTACATATGCTTATTTGCTTCGTTTGTCCGCTATGACCGCTATAGATCCTTCTGTCCGTAAAGTTTCTATCCGATTGACTAAAGATACTCATGCTCAAAGATTATTTTAGTTGTAAATATAATTTTGAGTGTAGACTAGAATAATCCAGAACAGTAATAAAGCGCATAATCGCAAATGTTTATTACGAAACTGCGTACATAATTTTCAAAACAAAACAATATATACAGTAAAACTTGGTTATAGCAACATCGGTTTCTGCGACACCTTGTCTATTGCGTCAAATATTCAATGGTACGAACTAATTCCTCATAAAGCAACTGTTTTTATACCTTGCTTAGTACGACATGCACAAATGCATCAACCTCGTATGTAACGTCATTTTCATTCCTGAATTTCTCTGATATGGACATTGAACGTAATTTAGAAAGTGTGTATTGGGCAAGTAACAGGAAACAGATGAAGATAACTGATTACTGTACTCGTATCTAGGTACAGTAAGGCACAACAATTGATGTAATCTACTGTAATTTGGTGAGTAGGCCTACCTTTAATATACAGTATTAGTGCGGTGTGTATTGTCAGTGAAAAGCGCTGTAATATGTCTTTGATATTACACATTTGGGCAATTCCACGTTAATGTTACGTTAGTCTGTACTTAACTACGTATTTCACTAAAAAATGCAACATTTTAACTCGGTTTTTGGTAGATTTTTACGTGACTAACATAAGGCTACTGTGGAAGTGCCCATTTCGGTTACAACGACATTCGTTTATAACGACACTATTTTTAGGTCCCTTTGATGACGTTATAACCAAGTTCTACTGTACATTGTATTATTTCGTCTAACTCTGGATTCGTTGAATATCCTTGTTTAATTTGATGTTCTTACAATGTTGGCTGCAAAGTCTCCTATCATCTGTACTAGAAAGCTAAGTTGTGCGCTGAAAACGACGGACAAATTATTTAGCCCTGAAGACGGAGGCGATATTTTTATCTGAAACGGTTGACTTTCACTGGAATACTTGGCATTATATACTAGAATATGTAACTTTTAATAGATATAATTGCGTACCTAATATACAGCAGAGTCTTCTTGACAAGATGATAGTCACTCAGCTGGTCAAGATTCCCCTCCTTTCATAGAACCTGATCCCTGCTCACAAGAACCTGCCTCTGAACGCCATTTCATGCAGACAGATTTTATTATTATCCTCCCCTCTACACTTACGCAAATCTCCCATAATTTTATCTTTAAATTTTTTTATGAGTTTCGTGTCACCAATTTTCACATCCACATACAGAAACAGGTAAAATTATACTACATTTAATCAATAATATTTTAGATAGGAGACTTCAAGAGCGGTCATTATGATTTCCAGACCGTTTTTGAGTTATTTCGTTCTGAATTAACATAATTTTGAGTTGTTGCATTTCTGTACTATAAATTTGAAAGTCTTGCTTTTGGCTTAAGCCCCAAAATTGCTTTATACTGGAAGCAAAATATTACAAATTTCACAGCCACTCATCCTTAGTGAAGTAGAACAATCAAGAACTTTGTTAACTGGAAAACAAT